AGCAGTTTGAATCCACAGGCTGCTTCTTGGAAACCCTACGGGGTAGGTCTACTCTGTCCTATAGGGTCACTATGAGTTGGAATTGACTTGACAGCAACGGGCTTGGTTTGGTTTAGAGACGACAGAAACAATGGAGACACAAGAACACTTAAAAACAGCAACGCAATGCCCTCATGGAGATAAGAGAATATACAGTATTCATGAATGCAGAACAAGGTGTTACACAAAAAGAAAAGAAAAAAAAGAGGAATATTCAGAGTACAAAAAAAGAGATCCTGGAAATTAAGACATGATATCAAAAATGAAAACTTGAAAAACAAAAATGAAAACTCAATAGATGGGTTAGAAAATAAAGTTGAAAAAAATCTCCCAGAAAGTATAGCAGAAAGGCAGAAAGAGAGAAAATAAGAAAATGAGAGAACTATTCTAGGAGATCTAGCATATTAAAACTAGGCAATTAAAAAAAAGGGGGGAAAAAAACAAGTTTCAGTGGGTGAAGGGAACATCAAATAAATAATACTAAAAAATTTCCCAGAACTAAAGAATATCACAGCTTGCCTGGAATTACAAATTATGGCATCAAAATTCATTCACAAATTCAGGAAATATCAAGAAGTTTCTTACTTTAGTGAAAATATTATTTTTCCACCAAAATTTGTATTTGTATAATCACAAGAAAAAAAATTACAATAGCCTTTAAATAATGTCAGATGTTTCTTCTTTAACAGAATGAGCTTCTAAAACACTTATTTTGATTTCATGTATTAGATGAAAAAAAAAACAAACCATTATTGAGGTTAACTGATTTTCTATTTATAGTATCTGGCAGCACTATAGAACCGGCATCATTTAACCATTAGTAGAATCAACATATGTGCACAAGAAAACTTGAAATAAAAAAATGAATGAAATTAATTTAGAAGAACAGCCATTTGATCTAATTGAAAAGTCATGTTTCATAGAGTGATATGTAACAGACCTTCTGCATTGCATATGTTAAAATAATGTCTTAAAAAAAATACTGTCTTTGAGCAGTGTTCTTAAAATAACCACGAACTTTTGAAGTGGTTGCTGATGTTACTTCAGCAGACTCGTGTATTTAGATTTTCAGGTCGTCAGCGATATCCCGCAGCTCCATGATGGATGCTAACTGTCAACAAACATTTTGGGCAACTTACACGTTCATCATCAACTATCCTGAGACATGAAAATATAGTAAACCCAAAAAAAAAAAAAAAACAACCAAACAAACCCGTTGCCATCGAGTCGATTCCAACTCATAGTGACCCTATAGGACAGAGCAGAACTACCCAACAGAGTTTCCAAGGAGTGCCTAGGTGGACTTGAACTGCCGACCTTTTGGTTAGCAGCTGTAGCTCTTAACCACTATGCCACCAAGGTTTCCTGAAAAGATAATACTTAATGTTTTACTAAACATGCACTTCAATTCTTAAACACATTGCTACTGAAAGGATTTAATGCAAAATAAAAAGTATTACCAAAAAAAAACAAGAATAACTAAATAGTTGTAGATTTATACCATATAAAAAATTATCCTTCTATGAAGCAAGAACATTCAAACCACACAGTAAGTGCTCTATGACAGGATTCCTCAGTCTCTAGTCTCTGCCTGTATTTCACATAAACCTAACGTATAATGCCCCACATTTCCCACTGACCTGCTGACTGGTGGCCTGGTGACTTTATGCATCTTATAGGCCACAGCACAGGCCACTGAAAAACTGCCAGCTAAATGAAGTGGCTGGCAGAGGCTTTTAATACTTCTTCCACCATGACCAGAGGCCAAAAGGAGGTAGCTACAGACGCTTGATTTATATCATTGATCATTCTGCATACTGTCCTTGAAAGACAGAAGTTAGTTACATTGTACCAGGGAAGAATCAGGAAAAATGAGATGGGGCACTAGTTATCTTCCATGTTGAATCATGTTTTCCACTGAGAACTGTGTGTGCATCTCACACATTACAGTACTGGAGGAGAACGTGCAGAAGCTAGAAGAGCAAAACTGAGGTCTCTCCTTTTAGCTTATGTTAGTCCTACTATTAATGATATTTCTTTAAAAAATGAAAAATCTGGGTCAAGTGTTAAACTGTATGGGATGGTAAGACAACAGGTGTAAACAAGAGACATAAATCAGGATGTTTGATCCTTCAGTGCTACCTGCCTGACTTGCCACAGCAAATGCCAGAAGGGTTGGAGAATATTGGTGGTTAATCCTCAGCGTCATGAATTGTTGATGACCAGATGCAATGTCATTACCGGAACCTGTTAAGTAGCTATTGATTCAGTAAATGGTTTAATTTTTATTCCATCAGCAAAATAATTAGAAGCCGTATGCCTTCACGTGGCAAGGACAGCAGCACACTTTCACTGTCTTATATAAGGGCTACGTGTAGAGATGAATTGATCTATGACTCTGTCTAGAACCCAGGGCCGCCCATGTACTACCGCCAAGATGCTCAGAGAGCAGAAGGGGAAGAGTGAATGAGGAGTCTGTAAAGGAAGCAATGATTACCAAATAAGGCCTCCTGGCCAGTTATGGAAATGTGGACCAGCACCGACATTTTACGGTAATTGTTTACGTCTCCCCTTTTCTATTTACCTTGTATGAAGATCACGGGTGACAGTTATTATTAAAATTTAGCTTCCAAGTTGGATATGACTGAGCTGACTTCATTTTCAGGTAATACGGGAGCTGACAGGACTTTGTATTGTCCCTGTTTGCATTTTTTTTTAATCAAATTATTTTATCCAAATGAAAGCAAAGACGAGACGGACTGCGCTGGCTGCTTTCCACACTCCAGATTCACTCTCCACCTTTCTCTGCCATGCTCTGCACCTGAGCGTGATCGCTCACGGGTGCAGCACCTGCGCTCCTTCGCCCTCAAGCTTTCAAATGACTAAGCCAATAGGACGCACCTACAGGAACTGGAAGGGCAGAAGAAGAGAGAGTCAGGGCTTCAAATAGGTTCATTCCGGTTCTAACTCCTGCTGAGAATTCGCATTTCTAACAAGTTCCCAGGCGATGCTAATACTGCTGGTTAGCGACCAATTCTGCGAACCACTCCTAGAGCCAAACCCACTGCTGTGGAGTCAATTCTGACTCACAGCGACCCTTAGGACAGAGTAGAACTGCCCCCATAGGGCTTCCAAGGCTGTAAATCTTTACGGAAGCAGACTGCCACACCTTTCTTCCTCGGACCAGCTGGTGGGTTTGAACTGATGACCTTTCCGTTAGCAGTCGAGCACTTAACCAGTGTGTCAGCAGGGCTCCTTTACTAGTAGAGCAGTGGTTCTAAAATTTATTGTATGTAAAAATCACCTGGGGATCTTGTTAAAATGTAGACTCTGATTCAATCTATCAGAGAAATGCACATTTCAGCAGGGGTTCGAGCCAGAAAGAACTGGTTCAAAGCCTTGGAGAGAAGTGAGGGTATCTTCTCTTATTCCCTCCCTGTCTTACCAGCGGCAGTGACTTTGGCCCTCTGCCTGTGGCCACTGCTCCCGTGAGGCAGCCTGTGTCACCGCCACAACTCTTGGCTGAAGTCAATGAGGCTGACACCTGATTTCAGATTCTCAGCCTCCAGAAACGTGACATAATAAATTTCCGTTCTAAGAACCAACACATCTGTCTCGGAAGAAGTACAGCCAGAATGTTCCTTAGAAGTAAGCATGGCAAGACTTCCTCTCACATACTTTGGACATGTTAACAGGAGGGACCAGTCCCTGGAGAAGGACATCATGCTTGGTAAAGTAGAGGGTCAGTGAAGAAGAGGAAGACCCTCAAGGAGATGGATTGACACAGTGGCTGCAACAATGGGCTCAAGCATAACAACGATTGTGAGGACGGCGCAGGACCGGGCGGTGTTTCGTTCTGTTGTACACAGGGTTGCTATGAGTCGGAACCAACTGGACAGCACCTAACAACGACATAAGCCACCCAGTTTGTGGTACTGTTACAGCAGCCTAGGAAACTAACATAGGTAGTAATATCCAACCGACTGTTGTACAAGCAGTACTCCACACAGATCCTGAGTGGGTCAGTCGGTAGCTCCTGCAGGTGCCTGCTGACACGGCCCCTCCACTCTCAGCACTAACAGCCTTTAAAGTGTCCCCTCCTGTCCAGACATGCGAAGTCTCACTCCCTGTGGTACCAGCTAGCTGTTAGGCAGGAAGCAGCTAAGTAAATTGATTTACATGTACATGTCAATGACTGCCAAGCCTCACTGCATTGAACACCCTAGAGTTATTTGTATTTAAAAGCAAAGTTTTATTACCCAAAGGAATCAATCACTAATAGTAGCCTTGCAGTTGCCCGTTAGCAGGCGGTGAGGAGGGAACAGGACATAATATCTCTTCATTGCCCTTCAAAAATTACGTGAGTTGAAAAATGACCACCTGTAGTAAATCAGATCTGGGTTCCAATCTCAGTTTTTACTGTAAAAAAGTAGGTAAATTAAAGTCTTCCAGTGTCTGTTTGAGTTCATTAAATGGGGATAGTCGTCTGCTCCATGATACAGCACGAATCATCTGTACAATCTTAAGTATCTGTCTTCCACACTCAGAGTGTGAGCATTTTTAGGCCATTTAAGCCTCATTCAGGGTCCAGCACAGGGGAAGACATGCTGCAGGCAGTCCATGAACATGGAAGGGATTTGTAAACTGTAAAGTGCCATCCATGCCCCCAGTTACAGCAATAATGATCATTATTACTCTACCTACGAAGAATGTAAATACTGCACTGATCGATGTTGGGGATACCGGGTGAATCGGACGGGGCAGGGACCTCTGCAGCAAATTTCATTCGGACCCTTATTTAGAGCGTTGATTCCTAAGCCCAGATCAAAAGAATCCCAACCTCAGGCCTTCTCGAGGCCAAGGAGCCGAGATTTGGGGGGTGGGTGATAATGGCGACAATCTCACCAGCGTCTTTGAGGAATTCTAGGAGTACCAGGAATAGTAAAGGAAGCGCACCGGACATGCCCGTTACTCAGCGACTTTCAAGCTACGCTTTTAGAGAAGTGGAATCTCGCTATTCGGTGCGTTTGACTCTTTAGACTGAGGTTGGCGAGTAGGATTCTTCTTTTTCAGAAGAATTTTCCTCCTTTACTGGAGAACGCCAGCGGAAAGCCGAGAAATACCCGTTTAACAGTCCTCCCGGAGGGGCTCGGCATCTCAGACGGCATCACCCTCTCGCCAAGGGTCACCCAGACGGGCGAGGGTTCCCTGCAGTCTATTCTCCCCGCCTCCCTGCGCCCTCACCCTCCGCCCCAGAGGCGCCCACGGCGCGCACACCCCCTTTTGGCACCGAAGCCTCCAGGTGCCCAGCTCGAAGGCGGAGCCAGGCTGCAGCCGCCTCCCTGGCGCCACGGAGAAGACACCACCCCCCTCGCCCCGCGCACTCCGCTCCCCCCACACACCCGGGATTCCGTCGGCCCTGGCGCTGCGGCTCCGGCGTCCCAGGCCTCCCGGTCTCTGCGCTCCTCCCTCTTGGCGCGTCCGGCGCGAAGCCTGCGACGCGCGAGCAGAGCGCAGTGCGCAGCGCCGAGTGGCGCACGCGGGGCAGTTCCCCCTGCAGCCAGAGCGCAGCCGGAGTCCGCACCCGAGCGCGCCGGCCCGCGCACGCCCGGACCATGGCTGCCGAGGGAGTCGGGCCCCGTGGCCCGGCGCACAGCCGCCTACCAGGTCTCTGGGCAGCAGCGCTGCTTCTGCTCGGTCTGCCGCGCCCCTCGGTGCGGGCGGATGGTGAGTGGCCGTGAGGCTGCGGGGCCTGGGGTGGCGCTTGGGGTCCTGGCGGGGAAGGCGAAGCTCGCTGAGGCTGCTCCTTCGGAAGGACTCGGCAAGCGGAGAGCCTGGGAGGGAACGAGGCGAACGGCCCTCCTGCAACACAGCATCACTCTGCGGACCCTCCAAGTCTGCTTGTGCCCCCACGCCCCCTGTGCTCGCGAACCCTCCCTTCAGCTACCAGAGGGAGCTTGTGCGTTAGCCCTTCAGTCCTGCCGCTAGCTTTCCCAGGATCTCCATGAAAATCCTTTAAAATGAAGTCACCTCTAGGGTGCTCTCGAACCTGTTCTGCAGAGATTTAATTTTCCACCATCCCTCATTTCTCAACATCTAACAAATGTGTTTCCAGACGCAAGGCCAGTGTTTGGAAGACTCCTCAGATATTTTGACTTGGTTCAGGAAGATATGAAATACGAATGGGGATAAACTAGGCAAAGAGGGGAGGAGAGAGTGCCTTGGTTAGAGGGAATAGCACGTGCAAAGGCCCTGTGAGTGGCAGGGAAAATTGGAAATAGGACATCAGGTAGAGTGGCTGGAGCCGAGAGTGCAAGGTGGGGATGCTGTGCGAGATGAGGCTAGAGAAAGAGGGGCTAGATGGTTGCCGAATCTCTGAGAATCAACCCGCTCTTGTTGTTTCAAGCTGCATTCAGCTTTTAATACTTCCCTTAAGTTAACACGATCAGAACCCTGCCATCAATTCCGTTTAGAAAAGCTAATTCAGCTGTGTTTTGATTTTGGAATAAAACCCCGTTGACTTGGTGCAGGAAGGAAGCTTAAAAGTCAGCAGTTCTCACACCCGTGAGAGGTTTCTAGTAAGTCCAAGCTTGGGACAAATTAGATTGATGGAGAAAAACTCGGCAGATTCAGGACGCTTTGTAATGATATATGTTAGAGTGTCTTTCCTATTTAGCAATATTGGGTGAAACTAGCAGACGGCAAAAAGAATAGCGGTGGTTTGGGGAGACGGGAAAACCAAGAGAGAAAAGAGCTCCAGATATGATCTTCGAATTTTTAGTGCTCCTTGTCCTAAATCCACTTGACGGACTCTTTGCTTCTGAGCAAAGATGAATGTCTTATTTCTGCTAAACACCGCTGTTAATTCTTTTAAGTTGAGGTATAAGTCACAGAACGTAAACTTCACCATTTCGGAGTGTCCAATTCTGTTGCTTCTAGTATATTCCCTGTGTGGTGCTACCATCACCACTATCTAAATTCAGAACATTCTGGGAGGGAGGAAAAAAAAAAAAAACCTATTAGCAGTCAGTCCACTGTTAATTCTTTACAGTAGCATTTTTTGATGGATTGGCACTGAGTTATGAAAATTAAGCTAATCTTAAAGAAGGCAAGTAGAATCAACAGGAGCTGTACTAACTTTTGAATTACGTGTACTGTTGAGCCAATTTTCACTCCTTTTAAAGAAATACCTGTAATCCAGGAGGTTTTCAAGTTTCACCTCATTGTAACTGCTTAAGCGGAGTGGCAGGTGGATAGAGATCAATTTTTTGTGCTTATTTGACTTGGTGTGGATCATAGAAAATTGAAGGTAGAAGTATCAGTGGACAAAAAGAAAGTAACACCAGCCGCAGGGCACCTGTGTTCTTCTTTTGTCAGAAATGCCTTCTTTTCTCCCTTCTCCCTTCTTTCCTAGTGGAGGATGATAGTTACACTTCTTTCAAGAAACTCCGTTTGCTGAGCTCCAATTTTAATAATACGATCATAAGAACGTATAAGTAAATTATTAAAGGATTCTTTTCTTAACTAAATGCATGCTTCAATACCACCCATATTTAGTTAGTTATGTGGATTTAGGAGAGAGAAAGGGCTACAGGGATGGGAGGCGGAATAAGAAGTGTTCAGCCAAACTGGGATGCGTTACATGTCTTTGAGAAGAGAGACTTGGAGATAAATTATTTCTTAAAAGAAAAAAGTCAGAAAATTCAAATGAAAAACATTTAGTTTACCTTTGACATTTAGACATGCATCTCATACTGCTGTGCTTTTAAATACTTTCGAAGCTGAAAAATCCACGTTAACTAAACGAAATGAACTGTTTGGGTTTTGATTACCGGAAAAGATCGTTAATTTAATAGGTATTTATTGAGTGGCTACCAGGGTACCAAACTGTTTGGTTTTGTATCCCGGCTGTGTGATCTTGTTCGAGTAAATGATACTAACCCTTCACTCACTTTGGATGGGGATAATAATGACACTTCCATCATGCAGTTATAAGGATTAGTGAATATTTGTAGAGCAATTGGAACAAAGTCTGGCCCAGACTAAACACTGTGTAAGTGCTTGATAAATAAAAAAAGCAGTTTGAGCTTGTTTGTGTTGTGGCATAAAAACATGCTTTGTATGACTTTGGTCTTTTGAAAAAGTCTTTGTACAGTCTGAGGTCGTGGATTATTTAATATGTTTAAAACTATTTAACTTTACGGATGAAATAGCTTTTATCATTATAAGGGACCTTCTTTTTTCCTCTAGCAGTGCCTTTTTTCTAACAGCTTTATTGAGATATAATTCACATACTGTATAATTCACCCACTGAAAGTGTGCAATTCAGTTTTTTTTTAGTGTATTTACAATTGTGCAACCATCACCACCATCTCACTTTAGAACATTTTCCTCACCCCAAAAAAGAGACCTTGTACCCATTGTCAGCCAGTCCCCTTTTTTCCCCTAAACCAAAAAACCAAACCCATTGTCATCGAGTCGATTCTAACTCATAGTGACCCTAAAGGACAGAGTAGAACTGCCCCATAGGGTTTCTTTCCAAGGAGTGGCTGGTGGATTCAAACTGTCAACCTTTTGCTTAGCAGCCGAGCTCTTAACCGCTGCGCCACCAGGGCACCATTTTTTCCCTAAGCAACCATTAACCTACTTTTTGTCTCTGCGAGTTAGTTTGCTTACTCTGGACATTTTATGTAAATGGAATCATACAATATTGTGGGCTTTTGTGACTGGCTTCTTTTACTTGGCATACTATTTTCAAGGTTCATTCATCCGTAGCATGTATCAGTACTTCATTTCTTTTCACTGCTGAATAATATTCCATTGGATGGATGTACCACATTCTGTTTATGCGTTCTTCAGTTGATGGACATTTGGGTTGTTTCCACTTTTTTGGCTATTATAAATAATGCTGCTATGAACATTTGTGTACAGGTTTTTATATAAACATTTTTGCAGTTCTTTTAGGTGTACCTACATGTAGGAATGGAAATGCTAGGTCAGATGATAACTCTATATTTAACTTGTTGAGGATCGGGCAGACTGTTTTCCAAAGGTGCACCATTTTACATTTCCACTACCAGCGTATGAGGGTTCCAGTTTCTCCACATCCTCTGCATCACTTGTTATTATCTCTGTCTTTGGTTCTAGCCATCCTTGTGGGTATGAAGTAGTATCTTGTTGTGGTTTCGATTTGCATTTCCCTGATGGCTAATGATATTGAGCATCTTTTCATGCACTTATTGGCCATTTGTATATCTTCTTTGAAGAAATGTCTACTCAGATACTTTCCCCGTTTTTAAATTGGCTTACTAGTTTTATTGGGTTGTAGGAGTTCTTTATATATTCTAGACACAAGTTTTTTTTTTATCAGATATATATTTGCAAAAATATTTTCCCATTCATTAGGTTGTTTTTTCACGTTCTTGATGTCCTTTGAAGCCAAAAGTTTTTAATTTTCAGGAAGTCCAGTTTATTTTTTCTTTGGTTATTTGTGCTTTTGGTGTCATAGCTAATAAACCATTGCCTAATCCAAGGCCTTAAAGATTTCTACCTACGTTTTCTTGTAAAAATTATAGTTTTAGATCTGACATTTAGGTCTTTGATCATTTTGAGTTAATTTTTGCATGTGGTATGAGATAGGGTCCAACTTCATTTGTTTGCGTGTGGCTATCCATTTGTCACAGTACCATTTGTTGACAAGACTGTTCTTTCCACATGGAAGTGTTTTGGCATCTGTGTTGAAAATCACTTAACCGTAAGTGTGAGGGTTTAATTCTGGACTCTCAGTTCCATTCTGTCCTTATGCCAGTACCACATTGTCTTGATTAATATAACTTTGTAGTACGTTTTGAAATTGAAAAGTGTGAGTCCTCCAGCTTATTTTGGCTATCCTGGGACTCTCAGACTTGCATATAAATTTTATATCAGCAAAGGCACCTTGGATTTTTATAGGAATTATGCTGAGTCTGTAGATCAATTTGGGGAGTATTGCCATCTTAACGGTACTTTTCCTCCATGAACATGGAATATGTCCGTCAAAGTGTTTGCTTGTGTTCAGGAAACTTCTTAGCTTTTCTTACCTAATTGTCTTTACCAGGCCCTCCAGTACAATGCAGGCAGCCAAGGTGCATCAGACATGGTGGCTGCTCCCCTGCCGAGTAGGGGAGGAGGACAGCGAACACAAACCAGCTGGTTGTGGAGGGGCTCTGACAGTGTCCTAAGACAGTGGGGCAGAGAGAAGGGAAGCAGGCTGCTCTTTTTGGGTCACCACAGGGATGAGGGAGGCAGAAGAAGGCAGCACTGAGGCCTGAATCAGGCCTTTGGACACCACATGACCCAATGCAGGGAAACCTAGGGCATGGAGCCTTCCCACGTGGTGTTTGTAAAACACCTTTTTAAAGGGAAGACTTGGAGGGTTTATCCAGATAAGCATGCCGGAACCAAACCAAAAACCAAACCTGTTGCCATCGAGTCGATTCTGATTCGTGACAACCCCGTGTATTACAGGTAGGAACTGCTCCATAGGGTTTTCTTGGCTGTAATCTTTACAGGAGCAGGTCGTCAGGCCTTTCTTCCGCAGTGCCACTGGGTGAGTTTGATCCACCAACCTTTGGGTTACTAAACCTGTTGTTGTCAAGTCGATTCCAACTCATAGCAACCCTGTAGGACAGAGTAGAGCTGCCCCATGGGGTTTCCAAGGAGCAGCTGGTGGATTCAAACTGCCAATCTTTTGGTTATCAGCTGAGCTCTTAACCACTGTGCCACCAGGGCTCCAGGTATGGCAGAGCAGATGGTTACATTTTCGTTTTAGAAGAAGACAGGAGCAAAACGTGGTTCAAAACACTGGTGCAAGTGTTGCCACTCAGTCCCAGGCATGAGGCATGCTGGGGTAGTTTCTGCACTTGGATCTTCAGGCAAGTAGGAAGCTAAGGTTCTGACAGGCGTCTTCCAGAGAGTGAGTTTGCGGAGAGTAAATTCCCATGGATCCCGGAGTCAGCCTGTTGTGTTTGTGCTTGGCCCCACACAGGGAAACTCTTTGTGCTGGAGTCTGGGAATGGCTCAGAGGCCCTGGCATTGGAGGCAGCTCGGCTTTCCTGCAGGAGCAGGGGCGCCCACCTCGTGTCTGCAGACGAGCTGCGGAGGATGGTCCGGGACTGCACCTTTGCGGTGTGCACCACGGGCTGGCTGGCAGACGGCACCCTCGGGTAAGTCCGTGAGCCTGGGGAGCACCTTCTTTCTGACTCACCTGACTTCCCCACCAAGGCTTGTGGAGGGGGATCCATCGTCTGCTCTGTTGGGACTCCTGGGTGGGCAGAGTGCAGTAGGGAGTGGCTTCCAGCATTTCTTCAAAGTCTTGTTTTGAGTTCGCAGACAAAAGCAGTTTTCTGACTTTTATCACAGTTTTTCCCTTATTTTGTTACTTGAATTGTCTTTTTAAGTTACAAAACTGATACGTGCTAATAAAAATGTAAAACAATACAGATGTATATAAAGTACCAAGTGAGTTCCTTTCTTTTTCTCTACTTCAGAGGTAACAGCTCTTAACAGCTTGGTGTATGTTCTTTCCCCTTCTTCTCTGCGGCAGTTTATCTACTTGTATGTATAGGCCACCACCTGTCTGTCAGTTTGTTGTACTGTGGAAGCCTGCATGTCGCTGTGATGCTGGAAACTATGCCACCTGTATTTCAAATACCAGCAGGGTCACCCATGGTGGACAGGCTTCAGCAGAGCTTCCAGACTTAGACAGACTAGGAAGAAAGCCCTGACAATTTACTTCCAACAATTAGCCATGAAAACCTCATGGATCGCAATAGAACGTTGTCCGACTCACTTGTTTTGGACACGTCATCGGGAGGAATCACTCGCTAGAGGAGGACCACGTGTCTGGTGAAGCAGACGGTCAGCGAGGGTGAGGGAGACTCTCTTAGTCATCTCTTAGTTCTTCTCTTACTCAGACTTTGTGTGTGTGTCTGTGTGTACTCATTTCTAGGTGATCTCATCCCTCCCATGATCCTTCTAAAATGTACGCCAGTCACATCACACTTCTCCTCAAACGCTCCAGGGGCTCTGACTTCACCCAGAGTAAGATTTAGCCCTCATCATGGCCTACAAGGCCCTACAGGATCTGCTCCCCGACTCCCTCTCTGACCTCATTTCCTACTACTCCCTCTGTCTCTCCCTCAGCTGTAGCCCCAGTGGCTTCCTTGTGGTTCCTCGTTCACCCCAGGGCTGTTCACTCCTTAGGAAGTAGTCAGCAGGAATGCACTTCCCTTAATATCTTCTTGGCCAACTCTTCTGCCATCTTCAAGGCTTTGCTCAAATCTTACCTCCTCAATGATGCCTACCCTACAAACTTGTTTCCTACCCTCACCGTCTCCTCAGAATCCCAGCCTCCACAACCTGCATCGTTTTCTAACCTGTTGTGTAATTTACATGCTATATGAATGGTCTCCTCTTTCTAGAATATCTTTTTTGTTCATTAATGTTACCCAGGCACCTAGAACAAACCTGGCAAATAGTAGATGCTCAATTAACATTTGTTAAGTGCATCAAATAAATTATAGCACAGAAAAAGAATTCAAAAGCTTTAATATACAGAGAAAAGGAACCCTGCTGTTGCAGTGGTTAGAGCGCTTGGCTGCGAACCGAAAGGAAGGTCAGCAATTCGAACTCACCAGCTGCTCTGTGGGAGAAAGATGTGGCCGTCTGCTTCCGTAAACATTACAGCCTTGGAGACCCTATGGGACCGTTCCACTCTGGGGTCGCTATGAGTTGGAATTGATTTGATGGGAACAAGTTTTGTTACTATGCAGAGGAGTCCCTGGGTGGTGCCAACAGTTGCATGCTTGGCTGCTAACCAAGCAGTTGTAGGTTCAAGTCCACCCAGAGGCATCTCAGAAGAAAGGCCTGGTGATCTGCTTCTAAAAAGTCAGCCACTGAAAACCCTATGGAGCACAGTTCTACTCTGACACACGTGGGGTTGCTGTGAGTCGGAGTCAACTCCATGCTAACTGGTTTTTTGTTCTAATGCATCCAGATCAAAGCCCGATGGCCAATGGAGATCAGTGGTCTTGACAATGACACAGGTCCCCGAGGCCAGGAGAATCAGAACATCTTGTTTTAGACTGAGTGGGTTGTTATGCAAACTGCAGATGAGGGGAGGGACTAACATTTATTGAGCCTCTTTTATGTCTACTTTGAATAAATCTAAAACCCTCTGTAATGTTCTAGTAGCACCTGAAGTCCTCTAACTTCAGGAGAAGAGAGAATCAGTATCGGCACAAAGCTGAGTCCCATGAGGTGGAAGTCAGACACACCTCTGCTCTCCAACCTTTTTACCAGTTCTGACACCAGCTACCCCTCCCACGGCACTTCCTACTTCTCTGCTGTGTTCGATAATTCATTACAGTAGCCACACAGAACTCACAGACCATACTTACTGTTAAGTGGTTTATTAAGGAAGTAACAGGGTACAACTCAGGATCAGGATCAGAAAGCATGCAGGCCAAGTCTGGAAGCCTCCCCCGAAAAGAAGAGCACATCCCTCCCTTCTTCAGTGCAGTACGGCTCTCTCAGCTCCTCTTGGCCGTGCAAGCAGGCAGGCCCTTCTCTCTGCCATGCATGCCCCCTCTCATCTATCCTGGCCTCTTCTCAGCCCCCTTAAAGCAGACCCCTCTCGGCCCTCTGAGGACAAGTCTCTTTGCCTTCTGCCTCCCTGCCGTCAGCCTCCCCAGCTGCTAACTGACCAGCTCACAGCCAGTGTAGGTTTTGTTCAGCTTTCTGAGCTGCATTACTAGGAGTAGGTTTCTGCTGGCACCAGCAGCTTTCCCTCAGGACCCCTCTGAGCCTCTGGCTGTCTCTAGTGTTACAGCCCTTGAACTGTGGTACAGCTCTTCCTCACCTCCTGTCTCTCTGCTCGTCTTGCCTTTTTTTCCTGCTTCTTTCTTCTTCTCTCTGCCAGCTCTCTGCGTATATAAGCAAACTCTTGGTCATTTTCAAGGCATGGCCCTCCCACCAGGGCCACGAACTGACCAATCCCCTCTTGGTAGGCTGCAGTCACGTCATTTGCATAGTAGACCATAGTCACTTCATTTGCATCAGTATATTGACCAATCCCTGCAAAGTGCGTAAAATAGACCAATCACAGGGCAGGCTGTAGCCCAAGACCAGACAAAAAGTATCAAACCATCAAGTTGTTTACAGCTTACCCAGGAAATGTCAGTTAATCTGATCAAAAGTAACAAAACTTCCAGGGTAGAAAACCAGGGCAAAGGTAACTCCTCAGGGCTTAGGGGGAAAAAATCTCACAAGCTGACTTGCCAAAGAACCAACGCAAAAGGCCATGTGCAGGAACTCATTTTACGACACTCGCACTCCTTACGTGGCCTATATGCGCCGCATGCTCCGGCTTCTGTGTGCTTAATGCCCCTCAGCTGCATGCAGGTCTCCGCACCAATATCGCCACTTCTCAGAGAGGCCTTCCGTGGTTATTCCAACTAAAATAGATCTCCCCATACACCGCCCATCTCTGTCACAGCCCCTCCTTCATTTCCTTTTTACCTCCTGGTTCAACTGAAATAATTTCCTAGTTTGTTTTCTAAATCATCCTCACTACAATGGAAGCTTGTCTTGGTCACTTCTGAATCTCCAGTACCCAGCACACCACCTTCACCACCTCCCAACCTAACAAATGTGTGTCGAATGAAGAGAAATGAATGCCAGGCGCCATTGAATCCTCACAGCAACCACTGAGGTTGAGTGCTGGGGGTTAGGTACAGTAACTGACTCTTGTTTCTCTACCCACATTTGAAACCAACTGAGAGAGGGTGAGGGAGGGGGAGGGAAGGAGAAAGGAGAGAGAGGAGTGAGTGAGCAAAATACCACCTTTTTGTTATTGATACTTTCCAATTACTGGCAGAGCCAAATGACTACAGTCTTCTCTATATGGCAGAGAAAGATAAGACACAAACTACAGTCTGAGGCAGGCAGATCCCAAAAGGGACAGTAGGGTGGGATGATGTGAGCATGCCCAGTTTCTGTCACCTAGAGAAGAAAAAGTAGAGGGCAAGGCATGAGGCTAGGAATGTTACCCTCAGAAAGGTCCCTCTGCATGGAAACACGAGGACTTGGGAATAAATGTTCCCTTCTGCTATTAAGGATCTTGCCGACAATCATACAGAGGGACAGCCAGGGTTTAGACCTAAGTGTGTCTCTAATATCTCTACCGCTTCTGTATTTAGACTTTTCTGTTTTTTTTTTTTTTTTTTTGACCTTTTTGACAGGGATGGAGTCTCGCTACCCTTTACTCTTTTCCTTAGATAGTCTTGCCTGCCACTGTCCCCCTCACCCAGTTCCTTTCCCTTCTGTCTACAGAGTTCTGTAAATTCCCATCTCCTCTAATATTTCTTTCCTAAGTTGTGTGTTACAAGTGAATTCTAAACAGTCCATCTCTGGGGTGTCGAAACAGATTCTGGTCCAGGATGAAAGTGGTCTTCAAAATTAGTAGGTTTTGAGGGAGAGGCATGCCCAGACACCATCTTGTAGAGGTTTCAGAGTTTCGTTTGTTTGTTTTCTTTCGTTTTGTTGTAATCTTCCGTCTTTATGTTCTAGTCAGCTTTAACACGTATTGCCTTGGAAACTTGATATATATGACCTCAACTCAAACATCACCTCTGCCTTCCTGAATTTAGACCTTTATTTGGGGAGAGCGTTTTGCTTTCAGCCAAAGCTCATGAATCAGAAAAATCTCTGCTGGTACACAGCTGGCAGCAGAAAAGAATTGTCCTTTTCTATTTTTTTTTACCTAGGGCAGCTCTTCTAACCCAGTGTCGTCTTTGGCTGTTTCAGGACAACCGTGTGTGGCAAGAAGAATGGTGAAGAGCAGAGCGTGAGAGCTGTCGATGTGAGAATTGAGAGCAACCCGGTTCCTGGTAGCACATACAATGCCCTTTGCATTAAGGATGAAGGTCAGTGCCAGAACCTCTGTAAAGGTCTGGAGGGTGTGCTTTTGGAGATTGCTTTCTAAGGTTGGTTTCTCTAGACAGAGACCGTGAGGTGAGGACTCACTGGATGTGGTTTATCAGGAAGTCTTCCAAAGAAAAGCCAGCAGGGGTTGGCAGTGAGGAAGTGGACCAGGAAGGGAAGGGCGTCAAGCAATGGTGTGCTATTAAGCAAAGTCCCACAGTGGTGGTAAGGCAGAAGGTGACTTTGGCTTAATCTCACATGGGATCTCTGGAGAGAGTGCAGGTCACTTCAGAGTTTTCCTGATCAGGGGTCAGGGAGCTGGGGTATTTATACTGCCACCCCTGTCAGTCATTGGTTAAGGGTTGTGTCTTAGTCATCTAGTGCTACTGTAACAGAAATACCACAAGTGGATGTCTTTAACAAAGAGAAGTTTATTCTCTTACAGTCTAGTAGGCTAGAAGTCTGAAGTCAGGCACCAGCTCCAGGGGAAGGTTTTCTCTCTCTGTTGGCTCTTGGGGAAAGTCCTTGTCATCAATCTTCCCCTGGTCTAGGAGCTTCTCAGCACAGGGACCCCAGGTCCAAAGGACGCGCGCTCCTGGCTCTACTTTCTTGGTGGCATGAGGTCCTCTTGTCTCTCTGTTTGCTTCTCTCTTTTATATCTCAAAAGAGATTGACTCAAGTTACAATCTAATCTTGTAGATTGAGTCCTGACTCATTAACATGACTGCCTCTAATCCTGCCTCATTAACATCATAGAGATTAGGATTTGCAGCATGTAGGATAATAACATTAGATCACAAAATAGTGGACAATCACACAATACTGAGAATCATGGCCTAGCCAAGTTGATATGTATTTTTGGGGGACACAATTCAATCCATGGCAGTTTTTTAACCGTAAAAGTAAATTAAAACGATCCTTTGAATCCCAAACATAAGGAGAGGTTCGGATTCTGGAGGGAGACAGGGCAGAGCCAGAAGAAAGCAGATGCCCCACTTTCTTCAGTGATCTCGCATGAATGTGTAAGGCTTCTAAGTCTTCTCTCTTCCCTCATGAGCAAGTGTTATCAGTTAGCTTTTGCTGTGTAACAAACTACCCCGAGATGTAGTGGCTGAAAATAACAATGATATGTTTAGCTCACGATTTTGTGGATCAGCAGTGTGTGCTGTGCTTAGCTGGGCAGTTCTGCTGGTCTCAGCTGGGCTTGTGTGAGTCACCTGCCCCTCAGCTAGGTGGCCTTGCTTCTAGGAGTTGGCTGGCTGTCCGCTGGGGTGATAGGGTGACTGGTCCCTGTGTTTCTCATCATCTAACAGGCTAGCCTAGGCTTTGCACCTTACAGGGCTTCAAACAGGTGGTGTGTGTGCAAGTGTGTGCCCCTCCTGCCCATGGTTGTAGTACATGAAGCCAGAGATTGGGGACATCTATTCATGTCCTAGAGGACCCAAGGTCAAAGCCGTGATTTAAAAAAAAAACCCAGTTGTGGAGTTGATTCTGACTCATGGTGATGCCATGTGTTTGAGAGTACAGCTGTGCTCCATAGGGTTTTTAATGGCTTTGACCTTTCAGAAGTAGATCGCCAGGCCTTTCTTTTGAGGAGCCTCTGGGTGGATTCGAACCGCCAATCTTTTGGTTAGTAGCTGAGCGCTTAACCATTTGCAGCACTCGGATTCCAAAGCTAGGATACCAAACCCACTGCTGTGGAGCCGATTCCGGCTCATAGCGACCCTGTAGGACAGAGTAGAACTGTTTCCAAGGCTGTAAATCTTTACGGAAGCATACTGCCACATCTTTCTCTCATGGAGTGGCTGGTGGGTTCAGACCTCTGACATTTCAGTTAGCAGCAGAGTGCTTTAACCACTCCTCCACGAGGGCTCCTGATAGTCATGATAGTGACTGCAAAACTGTAGTTAGAGCAAACTGGTATAATGTGCCTTGGGATCTCTTGCACTGAGAGGAACACAGCGTCAGTTCAGTAATATTCCTTCCGGCAATCCATAACTGAATGGCATCATGAGGAAACATTAGCCAAACCCAAACTGTGAAACATCCCACAAATAGCTGGCCTGTGCTCTGAAAAATTTCAAGGATAAGAAAGACAGAGAAAGGCCAAGGAACTGTTCTAGATTAAAATAAACTAAAAGCAGTTGACAATGAACTGCAGTTCGTGATCCTGGATGTATCCTGGACCAGGAAAAATATCTGTAAAAGGCATGATTTAGATAATTGATGAAATTTGAATATGGATTATGAATTAGGTAATAGTATTTTATCAGTATTTATATTTCCTGATTTTGGTAATAATACTGAAGTTATATAAGAAAATATCCTTACCAAATGGGCAACACCTGCCCAAAAGCAAAGACAAGAAAGCAGGAAGGGACAGGAAAACTGGATGAATGGACGTGGGGAACTCCGGGTGTAAAGGGAAAGGGAGAGAGTGCTGACACATTGCAGGGATGGCAACCAGGGACACAAAACAATTTGCGTATAGAGTTTTGAATGAGAAACTAACTTGTGCTGTAAACTTCCACCTTAAGGACAATAAAATGTAAAAAAAAGGTAAAAAAGACAAAAACATCACTTACATGGTCAACAATTACTTTAAAACAAAGATGAGAATATAAGGGGGCAGAGAAACTAGATTAATGGAAACGAAACAACCAAAACAGAAATGAGAATGTTCATGCGTTGTGGAGAATGTAACCAATGTCACTGAGCGATTTGTGTAGAAATTGTTGAATAAATAAACTTCTGTGTAAACCTTCACCAAAAACACAATAAAATATTATTTTTAAAAAAGTCCTTGTTCATAGGAAATCCACAGTGAGGAAATTTAGGGTCAAAGGGACATCGTCTCTACAATGTACTTTCAAATGGTTCAGAAAAAAATTATATATACATATATGTGTACACATATGTACATACATATATGTATACACATATGCATACATATATGTGTATATACACATATGAGGAGCACTGGTGGTGCAGTGGTTAAGTGCTCAGCTACTAACTGAAGGGTGAGCAGTTTGAGGCTTCCAGCCACTCTGCAGGAGAAAGGTGTGGCAGTCTGCTTCCATAAAGATTTACAGCCTTGGGAGCCCTATAGGGCAGTTCTACTCAGTCCTATGGGGTCGCTATGAGTTGGAATCGACTCAAAGCCCGTGAGTTTGGGTTTTTTTTTTTCATACACACATGTATATACATATATACACATATACGTGTGTATGCGTGTATGTGTCTGTCTAGGTTTATAGAAAGAGAAGAGCGATGAAACAAATGGGGCCAAATGTAAACGCATTAGACTGGATAAAGGGTATATGGGAGTTCCGTGTACTATTCTTACAGTATTTCTCTAAGTTTGAAATGATATAAAAATGTAAAGTTTCCCTAAAAAATCAAAAGGCCTACCTACTTCCATCTCAAAACAAAAACAAACAAGCAAAAATGTCTCGGAGTCATGGGGAGCTAACAGGTGAAACGAAATTGGAAGGAACTGAGACCCAGGCCCGGCAAGGACGGGCAGCAGGAGGCCCAGCAGCAGATGGACAGTGTGGACAGAGACATAGTGTCGCCGTGCCCGCAGCAGCCTTTGAGCTCCCAGGGCTTCCTGTCACTAGTGAGCCACATGTATGCCGTGTCTCTTGTGATGCCTGTGAAATGGCTAGGTGCCATTTTAACTGTTCATCATGATCAAAGTGCTTAAGGGCCCTGCCATTCGGAGCAGTTAGCCTGAGTCCAGCCTGGCCTCCCCTCACCACTGACACTTCCCAGGTCGAGAGGACTGCATGGAGCAGGGCTTGTACATGGGCAACTAGACCGTGGAGGGGACTCGGGAACACGTGCTGAGGTGTTGTTAGAGCCCCAGGGCTGCCCTATCTTGGGTCCAGAAGTACAGGATGGATTCCCCAGGGCCACTCAGAGAGCTTTGTCCCTGTTCCTCTGCCTTCCCTCCTCAGAAAGACCTAGTAAACTGCTCCCACAAGGCCCTCCATCTTCTCTGTTGAGTTGCTTCCTTTCCTCGGTGGACCTTAGCACGCTCATCAGGGGAAATCTGCTTGCTTAAGGAAGGAGCCGGTCTTCATGGAGGCCAAGGAGAACAGACAGCTCCTTGAGGTTCCTGTGTGAATGTAGGTGAGGTCTGGTACAGGGCACGCCGCTGTTGCAGAATTGTCTCCAAAGGTTGCCTTTTTTCCGGATGATGCTTCCTGGCACTTGGCTCTGGGCTACTTGTCTTTGGCGAGATGGAAGACTGGAGAGTGCCGACTTCTAAGATGGCAGCCATATGCCTCATCAAGAGCCCAGAAGAGAAACAGGGCCTGTGGAATGTTTCTTATTTTAAATAAAGTTCATCATGAATGTGGACTTTTCTCATTTTCCTTCCAGTATTTTTGTTTCACTGACAGTGAATTTCCAGCCCCGTGATGATCTCACTTAAACTAATAAGTGAAGTTATTTTTAACCAACTGGATGCTCATGAAATAAGCTGCCTCCACTTGGGCTCTCAGTCTTTGCTTGTCTTGGCAGCTTGTCTGTGGGGTCGGTGGCTTGGGGTCTGGAGACTGCAAGTCTCCTCTCACCTCCTCTCTGTTCCACCCACAAGACTCTACTCTTTGTCTGCTTCTTTTTTTCATCCTTTGAGGCAGAACGAACAAATCTGTCTTGGAAGAAGTACAACCAGACTGCTTCATAGAAGCAAGGATGGCGAGACTATGTCTCACATACTTTGGACATGTTATCAGGAGGGATCGGTCCCTGGAGAAGGACATCATGCCTGGTAAAGTAGAGGGTCTGCACAAAAGAGAAAGACCCTCAACAAGTTGGACTGACACAGTGGCCGCAACAATGAGCTTAAGCATAGCAACAATTGTGGGGATGGCGCAGGACCCGGCAGTGTTTCATTCTGTTCTACCTAGGGTTGCTATGAGTCGGAACCAACGTGACGGCACCTAACAACAACAGCAGGGCAGGGCTAGGAGCCCTGGTGGCTCGGTGGTTAAGC